TATTAACAATAACGCGTAATTTAATCCCCGCCCCGCATCGTAACTTTTTACAAAAGGACACCCCCCCCCCCAAATACGTTACGTAATACTTGAACGCCTAAATTAGGTCCTATTAATTACAATGTAAATAGCAATCTATACCTATCTACCCGAAAATGGTTTTTAAGGCAAGAATCGAACCTGAAGGTATATCATATACGTTAAGCGCTAAGCGGAGGCAAAGGAGCCACGCGAAAAATGTATACATTATTCATTCATAACGTATCACAACACGTTTAATCAACTTTCCAATTTTAATTGGATTTAAACAATAAATCTGCCCGATGTTTTCCGATTTACAAATTCATACCTATAAATTCTCTTAGATATAGTTGAACGTCGATTGAAATTTAATGATCGCTGTAACATCGACAATTCTATAATAAAATTGGAGATTTGCACAATTCACACTCGTAGACGGCTACGACGTAGCACAAGCTACGTTTTTTATAAGTAGTTAAAGCTGTGTGTTTAATGACTACTTCCGCCTTGGTTATACTTATTTCTGTACAATTTTAACGATTTTACTCTTACATACGTAATTGACTGTTTATTTAAACTATTTGTATACTATTGATTTGAACTTTAATGTTACGTTAAATATTACTCAAAAGTATCAAAATAATAGTCAACAATATCTATAGCAAGACTTAAATCCGAATAACTCACAATATACAGTCAGATGTTAGGGGCTCTTGCACAATTTACAGGATACTTAGAGTCTTCTATTAAATGATTAGCTACAAATCCCTAATGAGTAAACGATTTATTTTAGGAAGTATAGACCAGTAAAAATTAATTATATATATTGAGATTTTGTGAAATTATTTATTTACTAAACTTTTGTTTCAAAAGTACGGTAAATGAGCAATAGTAACAAAACATAGTAGTTTAAGTCATGAGGAAGTAGAATTTAAATATTTGCAATTGGATGAATATTTACAAATCTAACCATAAAGTACCATGTTACCTGATTGATTCTAAATTTATAGACAATTAATACAGTATAAAATGTCAACAATAGTTTTAGTACAATCTCAATTTAATGGTACTATAATTATGTCATACATTATTCCCCTATTTTCTTTTATGTCCATTGCGTAATATTTATGTAATATGTCCGTGTAATAAAACGAAATTTTAAAATGAATTATGAGTTAAGACTATCATTGTGACCTTATTTAGGTTTCGGCTTTAAATCTTTAAAAATTGCCTAAAGTTTGGCTCTTTTCCATTAAAACTAGGTCAATTGTAGTGATAAAATAAATGAACCCCCTCATTTAGCTCCTGAAGAAGATCATTATCAAGATTAAACAGATAGCTTACTCTTAAGATTTGATCGTTTGTCTAAAGATTTTCTTTAGCTTTAAATGTACAATGTATACATTGGATCTTGTTTGTTGATGGCGGCTATTTAAGGATACCATTTTTTGTTTCGTTTATGAATTTTAACCTACTGTTCATAGTTAAATATTCATAATTTTATAGTAAATAGTTTTTTAATGTGTGTAGTTCTAGTATTAAATATTCTTAGTTACAAAGTTTTACTAGATTGAATTAGCAAAATAATAAATAAACTGAAATAACTTTTTTATTTATATAATTTTTTTAAACTTTTATTATATTATTTTAAAGAATTCATATAGACATGGGTAAGTTCACTTGAAGTTTGTTTTGGACATTGAAATACATTCATAAAAATAATTTACCCCTTAGCCTGAAATTTCGTGACCTAATGATTTCGTGATTTAATGAAAAAAAAGTGAAATATTTAAAAACTTAAAAAAAAAAGTTATTATTTTTATAAAATAAAATTACATCTCTAATGGACTTAAAATTAGTTCGAAGCTTTCTCGCTCTAATTAACATTTTAGGAATTTCATCTGCGAAATGTTAGACAGCACACTGGATTTGATTGTAGCCGAATTTTCATTTTCAATACGCTGAAATTATATAGCGTACTATTGAAATGAAGCGAAAATTCGATCTAGACTTTTGTATGAAATCCCGTAAACGCACGGAGCAGATATTTATTCCTTTGATTGCATTAAGTAAGTCATAGGGTTTCCATACGATGATTTCTTATCGTATCGAGCAAGTATTTTGATGGACTTATAAAGAAAGTGCCATTACAGGGCTACTACGCCTTTCAGATACCGCACGATTATCACTAATATCTGCTATCAAAATTAAGGTATAAATTAGCATATGCAAAAGAGGTATAAATTAGAAGTTACTTTCGAAACTAGCCCTACGGGATTATTATTATTTCTATTCTAAAGAACGTAACGTAACGTAACGTTAAAACGTTACGTTAAAAATGTGTATAATAGAATTATTAGTTAAATTTGTGTTCTAAAAAATTACATAACATTCAATACATTAATGTAACAAGGATCCGGAAATAGTCGCTTCAAAATATTAAAAAAAGTTACAATTAAGAATATGAAAACCGAATATAAAACTCTAGAATATTTTACTTCTGGAACGAGTTTTACTACGATTTGCATTCTATTATTAAAGTGTATAATTTTATGCTAGATGGTAATATTATTATGTGATATTAACATATTATTATGATTGTTTTTATGTTTAAAGCGTATTTAACGCACGAATTACACGGATATTAGTGAAATACGTGGCGTAGGACAGCAATAAGACCTTATTTGAAGGCTAGGAACAATTTGCCAATTGCTCCTGGGCAAGTTTTTGTATAAACATACCAATATCTCACGAGCAAAGCTTGCAATGATTTATTTTTATTATAATTATTGTAAGGTACGTAATTAATGTTTTAAGTAATTCGTGAAATTGCAAAGGGTATATTGTACCAACCCCGTTAACCCAAAAGACGTTGTCAAAGAGCATGAGATAAAAACGCCATAAGGCCCTCAGAAACGAAAATCTATTCAAGTATCTCAGCCGATTTTTAATCTGATAGTAAGTTTAATGATTTTTTTATGTAATTAAAAAAAATGGTTTTGTAATTAGTTAGTCAAATAACAGTGTATATTTAGTATGTTTAACTCACTCTCACTATACTCTTCGTATTGAATGTAGTCTTAAAAAGCGAACCATACCGTATGTGACAAGCAATTCATAGTTTTATTTGGGTAATGGGAACAGGAGAAATTATCATAACGCTTGGGCTAACAGCCAACATCATAAAAATATAATGTCGACTTATGAGAAATAAGGCTTCTATTGTAAATATCTGTTTCATGTTACGAAAATATGATTTATTTGTGTATAAAATAATAAAAAAAATTGATTGATTATTAAATAAATATTATTTTAAATAATTCATATTAATAGACATGGGTAAGTTCACTTGAAATTTGTTTTGGACATTGGAATACATTCAGAAAAATATTTTACACCTTAGCCCGAAATTTCGTGAACAAACGAAATATTTAAAAACCGTTAAAAAAAGTTATTTTTTTTCCTTTTATTATTTTTATAATACAATATTTATAAAGATGATAAAAGGGAAAATTGTATTTATTTTGAATTAATACAATGTACATAGCTGTATAGGAAATATCTTCGATAATTTTTACCTAAAATAAGTGAAAAACGTGTATATATTTTGTTTGATTCCCTCTCTTAATCCTATTCAACTTTAAATAGATCTTATTACAAAAATTACTCTTTAAAAAAAACACCATTGAACCAATAAATCTTAAGAAACATCGCGAGAGCGTAGTTTTTATTCAGTCTTTTTTTAGCATACTAATACGTACACAAAATAGTTAAGTGTGTTAGTTCATATGATTTGAAGGAGTTTATGTAATATATGATTAATGCCATTATTCAGAGAATCCATATAGTCATGGGCAAAAGCTATACGAACAATAAAATGCCAAGAATAATAATAATAAAAATAATTATTAATGTTAATAAGACAACTATTAATTGCTTGACGTATGAATCAATCAGACCATCATCAATGAATTAAAATAATAACTCATGTAATAGGTTCATTCATCATAATTAAATGAAATCTTAACAAAGAAAAACGTAAAATATGCTTAACTGAGTTGTCCAACTGAAAATAGTGGACGCATTTTGAAAACGTTTATTTAATTATTATAAAATTATAATTTGAGTTCACCAAAAGAACACAGTTCGGTTTTGGGCTACATATAACGGCAAACAAGGCGTATCTTACATTTTAAAGTGCTATTGTATGCAGTGCTTTCTTTTGCTGCTTATAAGCTAATGAAGGTTACTTTATAACCGGAACACAAAGCCTGTTTACACTTTGTTAATTCAAAAGTTACATTATTAGAACTGATGCCTTTGTTCCCAGAAATGATTACGAAATTAACTTTTAACAAGTTTGATTTAAAGATTCACGCTCTAAAGAGATCTTGCATTAAGTTTAAAACAAATTGCTGACTCAGCTCTTTTAAACATAAGATTCACCGCAAAACTGTCAAGACGTTTTGCCTTCGCGAAAATCCAATTGACTGCGGTGCGAGAACAACGGAGGGAAATTTAAACAATGAATCGACAACATGAAAGGATCGTTTCACGATTTCATTATTGTCCCTAGAAATAATGCGCTTAAAAATGAAATAACACTACAGTGATGATCAATAAATTATGAACAAAAAATATTCCCACTTTAACGCCATATTTTGTGACATTAATCGATGTGTAGATGATGGCCCCTACTGATATCTTGGCGGCATTTCAAACAGTGCCGAAAATCTATATTTAATGTAACAAATTGTTTATTTTAATTTCTTGACATTTATCGCCTAGGCGTAACGCAAAGAAAACAAAAAAAAACCATTTAATTAATGTTAAATATGGTAAACGCAATTCGCATTGCAGAAGCGATTTGAAGGATAGTTTCGTAACAATAAGCCTTAACAATCGAACCATGGGTGGCGGTCTGTGAAACTCCAAGTGGAACTGAACCTTAGGGTTTGGCACTGTTAAAGTGAGTGGTAATGCGCGGTTTGAGACCTCGTGAGAGCGTTACCCGGGCGCGGTTGTTCCGGCGAGGCAGGCGTGCGGCCGCGACGGCGCCTCCACGCTACTGCGGCACGCGTCAACCCGCGCTTGCCCCGCGCCACGACGCATCCCCCACCATTCTTCACCCCCTGCCGCACAGTCGCCCGCACGCACGCCGCATTCTTGCTACCCTTAGCGCGGAACCCTCTCAAAGACGAGATACGGCCAACATCCCGAAGCATGAGACCTAACTTTTTAAAACTGCAGTTTTATTCAAGTCTCTTTTTATCTCTTACCGTGAGATTCAACACGAAGTACCAACTAGTAGGAGATGTTTATACAGCTATTCACTTACTTTAAGAATACGACTTGTAGAAGTTACTATTAGTATGTTGGATGTTGAGTTCCGGCGTTGGTAACCTACTCTTTCGATGCGGCAGTGCTTCGTTATTGCTACAATGCGCCCTAACCCAAGAAAGTTTTATAGGCACGAGCTTTCATGCGAAAGTAAACAGGTATTTAAATAAATTGTTGGTTGTTAAAACAAACTTTACCTGAAGAAGACAAACACTGAGATCTCTCTGAGAGTTTTTAAATTACGATAGAAATAATGTCAAGGATATAAATTTTAACAACAAATCGCTTTATGCAAAGCAGAAGACATGCAATTTCTGTAGTTGCACAAAAACACAGCTAAGATACTAATTCTAATATACCACATGTTGCTGTAACTTGATTTTATGCTTTTGTCTATTTGTATTGTGAGCCTTGCCAAAAACTTACAATTTCTTACTAATTCGAAGACCTGTTACGCTAGCCACAAATAACAGTCAAAAAACGGTTTCAATCACTATTTAACTAGATTATGTCTGTTAAATGCGATTTTTAAATGTTAATTATTTGCAGTAATGTGTTCCAAGTTTTCTTTAAGTACGTACGAAACGGTAATTAATCGTAGTGTTAGTACTAGTTGTTTTGAGCAGTGGCCTAGTGGCTTCAGCGATAGAATCTCATCCCTGAGGTTCCCCCGGCTACCAACGAACTTTCTATAAATGTTTGAATTTAACAAACCCTCGTAAGGTGAAGGAAAACATCACAAGGAAACCGGCATGCATTATATTAAACAAGTCGACGGCGTGTGTCACAGAAGGCTGTTCGCCTACTTGTCTATTAGAAAAACATATCACAAAACATATACAGAAATCAAGACTTAAAATGTTGTAAGTTGTAATACTACTGCATAAAGTTTGTGTGTTTTAAATCGAAGCTGTTTGCACTAGCAGATTCGTAACTGTAGATCATTTACGATTTATTTAAGACAAATTGTAAAATGAACAAGTAATTCAACGTTTAAATTGGTAATTGAAAATGATTTTATTGATACTCTTGAATATGTCTTATGAGAACAGACATGTCGATGAGAACTTTGATTAATCTATGCCAATCAGTTGACGATACTTTAATTACTAAACATTAAGTTTTTAATGTTGTAAAAGTATTTATTTATTCTTTTCTACGAAATATTTTATTCTCAGAACCTGTAATTAAAACCTGAGTCATTAAAATATTGAAGATGTGTGCTGCTTTTAATATCTAATAGGCAGTACGGGTCGCTGATTAAGGGAAATGTAATTTAATGGCATACTTTGATATATAAAAAGTTATACTCGTTAGTTACTATTGGTATTTTTAATTAAAATTAAAAACTAGCTGTAAAATATCAGAACAGTGTTTTACATGGCTACATTGGAGCATTGACCTAACCATGGTAACAACAACCCGATAAATTCAACGCAAGGAAACTCGTGAAAGTGTTTTTCTTATGAAACATTAATATTATTTTCATGATCAATGAGACGATACGTAATAAATGTAACGTTACCGTGAATTTTTATAAGATTTAAAGAGTTTTCAAAAAGATTTATCAAGTGTTAAGCCCGATCTAGAGTGTTTTAGCTAAGAGCCCTCCGGGAATTATACTTTAGTGACGCTTAGACAGTAGCTACGCGGAATACGTTCTTTGGTTTCTAGACTTTAACATGACAGTGTTCTTTCTATATCATTGCCATAGAAACTTTATCATACCATGAGAAGCGATGACTCATTCGGACCTTACAGCCCGACCTTACAGACCTTAGAACCAATTACAAAAAACAAATATATTCTGCGCTCCGACTGCGTTCCTTTACAAAAACCACGTGTTCAGATTTCATTTGAACATTGACAAACTGCTGACATGGCTCACGTGGCTGTTCTATACTCACAAGAATTATATGATGTATGTGTGAAATAGTCTTTGAGATGCCGTTTTATAACAACAAATCAGATTTGAATATTGCTCTGACAGTCTGACTTATTCAGTTCTCGCTTCCTCTCAAAGTAGCGAAGACTCATTCAACCCCTTAATTATCGTGGTGAGCGTGCCCGATAGTTTTGTTATAATCCCACTACCTGGAAACTTTGCTCCTACCCGTAGGTCTCCGTCTATTACCTTAGGTCTCTTGGTGTAATAATCCCGTACTTATATAGGGTACATCTGTAGCGCTGGCGTTTAATACATATAAATTTAACAACACATTTCACAGACCACTAGATGGCAAGCTGCACACCACAGGACACTTGACAATGACACAAAATATTTTTTAATGTTTCAACGACGCATTCGTTTTATTTCATATACCTATTTATTTTATTATTGTCCAAAAACTGAACACAATTCCATTAAGATTTTATGATAAAAACACTAGCTGACCCGGCAAACGTTTGTTTTGCCATGTATATTATTTCTAGGAAACATTTTTTGAGTTCAATAAAAATAACTGTCAATAATAAAAAATAGGGGTTGATCGTAGAGATAATACATACACCTCGTATGTATTTTTGAATGATGTATCATAGAAAAATAAAAACAATTTTTTTTTGGTGTGGACACCCCTTATCACTTAGGGGTTGAAAGATAGATAGAAGCCGATCCTCAAACTTACTGAATATGCATAAAAAAATTCATAAGAATCAGTGGAGCCGTTTCGGAGTAGATGGGAACCAACTTTGTGACACGAGAATTTTATATATAGAGATTATCGATTACAGCATTAAAATCGAAAAACATATCAACGATGCGATTCTCCACGTGTATTAAAATCCCGACTAAGCATAAAAAAAATTGCAGATGCGCAATTTCCCGACGGTTAAGCAAAATATCGCGAAGAAACCGGCATGTCTTAAACACTAAAACTCGACAATGTCAACACAGACTATTGATCACATACTTGCCTTAATTTTAATAATCATTGTATAATTACAATGCAAAGCACAATTGCTTTTAGAAATGATGTGAGATTACTATTTCACAGGAAGAAAAAGTACCATTAAAATGACGATCGAAGTATTGTTGGAGATAACAAATCCTTTTTCCTCAATTTTAATTGATGGTGTTCTTAATTCTGATAGCTCTCAGAGTCCATAACGTAGGTTTAGCACTTGAGAAATGATTATCAATTAATCATATTAATCCTAGAACATTAAGCTAACACTCAAAACTAGAAGCTCTCTGGTTTCTTACGTGTCTACACGGTATGAACAAAATCATCGAAATAAATATTTAATTAACTATGGTTAGTGATTAATTTTACGTATATATAGATCTCCCTCCCTTTAGGGATATTTTAAATATCTAATGGTGATCCGAACTACATGGAAAGTCGGCACTTATGCGCTAATACTTTTTTGTTCTTACATCGTTGTTATTTCATCGCGCGCGTCCCCTTAGATAACGGCTCCAAACTGAAATGGAACGGCCAGCAACCCACATGGACCATTAAACCCTTAATCCAACTTGTTATTTATATGAGGCCTCTTCCAAACCGACACCCAATCAATTACTACAAAAAGACAAAGGCTGACTCTTGTCAATAACTGAAACGGCACCTCCACCAACAATTTTCAAAATAATACATTTCAAACAATTGAAACATCAAATCAAATATATAGTCTCGCAGATCGTAAAGTCAAATACTTAACCATCACCCTGGAACTGTAATAATATTTGCATAGAACCCCGAGACCATGTCTAAACTGGAAAATAAAATACAAGAGCACCAATCCGCTGTGATATCAAGCAAAAGTTAAGTCGTGCTCGGCAGTGAAGCTAAGCTTCCAATAATCAATGCAAAGACGGTCCGCATTCCTTCATAACGAGCTATGCAGGGCTAGAAAAAGGCGAAGAGCTCACAGACTATGTTTGTTCGTTCCAAATCAGCAATAATCTCAGAAGTAAGTAAATTCAGAAGGGGCTCTTTAGCCGTGTATACCTATGTCGTTGCACAATTTTTTCAGGATATTTGTTTAATTTGCATTGTACCTGTATTGGCGGTAGTTTTAGTAGTAGTGAAATTACCTTTATATTTTGCCACTACGGCTAACAATATAACTCGGCTCAATTAAGTTAGTGTTCAACTCTTTATTTAAACTTCAAGACACTTTACCGCCGTCGCTATTGAGGGAGAACATTAAACCAGAGATATTAAATATCTCCCTAGCTGATAACACAGGTTTTTTGGTGTAGACACCATAAAACTCAGCATAAGTATTCATAAATCAAAATCTAGGTACGAAGACAACACCTGCGAGATGGGATTTTTTTTCTTATCTGGTAAACAGTTACATTTACAGTTATATTGCTGATCAGTGATCTGATTGTTCACCGCCTGTGCAGATTTTGATCATAGAATCATTAGAGGTCAGGTTTATTGAACGTTCCCTAAATTTATGAACAGACGTGCGAGGGGTCATTATTAATTTTATTGGACTCATCCCAGCCTGTTTCCAGTGGGTCTATCAGCACCATCTTGTTGTTGGATTCATTATGGGTCACCGCTTGATCTGTCTATTAGTAAATCCCAAAAGAATTCGTAGAACCTCTTCCGCCTGTCGTCTTTTGACGTTAATGGACCCGCGGCGTAAAATATTACTAATTTCTTGTAGGAGGCATTGCGGTAGGCATTCGAAGAGATTGATATTAGACACGTGTCTATTATTGTCGTCCAATCTGAAATCGTCCAATATTATCCTATATATTTACTAGTGGACCCCACAGACGTTGTCCAGCATGATATTTCAACCGATTAAGATATTAAACAAAGTATGAAAGTACCGACTGCAGCGCCATCTGTCGGGCTGATTTGTGAATCTAAACCATTCCCAGATCCCCTTGAACACACACAAAAAATTTCATCAAAATTGGTCCAGTCGT